ATCATCATGGGTCGGCTGTGGTGGAGTGGTTAGGTGAGTCGTCCTGGAACCAGAAGGTCACTGGTTCAATCCCCCGTCCAGTCGTCTCAGTCGTTGTGTCCTTGGGCAAGACACTTCACCCACCTTGCCTACTGATGGTGGTCAGAGGGTCCGGTGGCGCCGATGCATGGCAGCCCCACCTCTGTCAGTGTGCCCCAGGGCAGCTGTGGCTACAGTGTAGTTTGCCATCATCAGTGTGTGAATGTGAGTGTGAATGGGTGAATGTCTGTTAGTGTAAAGCGCTTTGGGGTCCGGAGGGACTTGAAAAGTGCTCTATAAGTTCAGTACCATTTACCATTCAGGTGTGGGCTATTTAATTTAATTAAATTTTGCTAATTATTAAACACCTTATTGGAATTTCGACCTTCCTGACTGAACCTGTGAGTCCACAACAACCAGTTACTATCATTACATTTTGGTTGTATTAAAGAGGACATATCATGTAAAATCCACGTTTTAACCCATTAGATGCATTTTGTTGTGTACTTGGAGTTTCTACGTGAGCAGAAAGTTTAACTTAGTCTCTCCCGATGTTGTATAAATATCTTTATATTCTATTTGATTCATATTTTTCAACCCATTCAGTTTCCGCTATAAAATTAGTTGTTGTTATTATTATTATTATTATTTCATTTTCCTCCCTTATTTTATTTTATTTGTAAATAAATAGTTTCTGTACTTCCATATAGTCGTGTCTTTGTTATCAACCTAGAATTCATTGTTCTGGAGGGGGACGGCGTGTGAAGCACCTTTTTTGGATTTAAAGAGACAGCCTCAAAACGAGTTGCTTTGTGACACATTTCAGAAAAGGGATGAAAGAGGGGCTTCTGGAGTTACAATGAGGAGGAATTCAGACCAAAGCATTGCAGTTCCACTTTATGTAGAAGCCCAACTGAATGATTTAAATGTGGAAAAAGAAGGATTTAAAAGCCTATGTCCACTCACACTAATTAACTTGAACCAATGTGTGATAAAGTAGATATCTTGCAAAAAGAAAAGTAATGTTTTAAAACTCTTGCACTATAGCATAGCTTAGCGGTAAATGATAGAGAATCGGTGAGCTGAACTGTRTCTGACCAGCAGGTGGCAGTACAATCCTGCAGTGAAGTGCCTCTGAGGAAGCAGCTGAGCTGGAAAAAAAAAGCATTTGGTTCAAAAACTTTTTCATTTATTTAAAACAGGAGACGTTTTGTTTTGATTCTCAGTTTATTTCCTGCCCCCCATAAATTTGGTCCTAATGTTTCCTTCAAGAAAAAGCAGTCAACACCAGTGACGCTGAGGATTTCTCACTGAAGAGGAGCAGTGACAGTTTTAAAATCTTCACTTAATGTAAATCTGCGCACACTTTTTAACACATATTACAACATCACTGATGTACCAAACAACAAGCAAATCTAGGAGAGGAGTCAGGACAGACGGGGCGTACTTTGTGTTTTCAGCAGAACAGGGAGCACCTTTCATACAACGATAAACACATGACGGCAGCACACACCCTGCACACACTGGCATGAGGATGGAAGATACGGCAGAGAGGASACAAACAAGAAGATCTCTGTTTACTTAAGGGGGAGAGTAATATCTGTGGGATATGTTTAACAGGCTCCTGTGAGCGGCTGTGGGGTTTGTGCAGCAGTTTCTGAGAAGCAGGTAAGGGGGGGTGAGGACGGCGGTGGGGTTTGGGGGGGTGAGCACGGCTCTGATCATGTTAAAGGGATTTGAAAGAGAAGCACAAGGCTGACAGACGGGGCCCCTCCTGTGAACTGTCTCCACCACACACACAGCCCACTTCCTGTCTCTCTGTCTTTTACMACATTAGCTGTCAAACGCAGACTCCAGCACAGCTTACAATCAAAGAAACGCACATTGTCACACGCACAGACCGAAACACAAAAACACACAGACATGGGGGTTACAAATCACCTGTTACTGGCTTWCTCTTAACCTGAAACTGCACAGGAAATGAGCTGAAGGGTCAGATATGTAGTGACCTTTTACTTCTCTTTCTTTTCTTAAGCTGTTGCTGTCTCTAAGCTCACAGAAAGCACAGCAATGTGATGTCTTAATTTAAGATTTGTTGAAGAAGGTGGTCATGAGCTATCTAAATGTAGACAAGCATCAAGACACTGCGTGTGTGTGTGTGTGTGTGTGTGTGTGTGTGTG